AGAGAGAGAGAGAGAGAGAGAGAGAGAGAGAGGCAGACAGACAGACAGACAGACAGAGCCGCAGCGGGAGGGGGTGCTTATTTTGTTGTTTTGAAGTCTTATCTTTCAATGATAAAGACGTTTTGGGGCCATAAAAAAGATAAAAGCTAGCAAACACAAATATATTACATATGCGTCAACACACAATGACACACTCACCCACACACATACAAATACACACAAATAAACACATACAGACTCAGATACATACATGGGCTTCCTAACCATAAACGCATGAATGTGCTAACATAAATAAGATAGACAAGATAGCTAGGTTGTCAGCGAGATAGATAGAGAGATTCATGTTTGGTGTTATATTAATTTCTATTGAGTTATGGCTGTAAGTGTAATCTGAAAATTTAAGAAAATAGCTAGAAGATTGTATTGATTACAAGTTTAGGAATGAAAAGACTTTAATGATTCTCTGCAGTCCTCATAATTATTCTCAAATGCCTCTACCGATTGTTTCGATTCGATGTTGGATCACTTCAAAATTTAGTCGTGCTTTGAGTGTTTGAATTCTTGCCCCAGGCTAAAGTATTTCGACTTTTTGAGAAAAATTATTTAAATGTATGCCTAAGATTACCGTTTTCCTTTGTAGTTTAACTCTTTCCACGTCTACGAGGGTTTTGTCGGTTGGGACACACATAGAGTTGTAAAATGTGACAAGTTGAAGGTGGAGAGAGGCCAGTTAGCGGCCACTTTTGTTGAGTAAAGTAGACGTGACACTCTCAGAATGAAACATTTTCTAATATAATAGTTAATCATATCAAAGGGTACAATATTTACCCATTAATATAGACCTATGCATAACCGAGCTTGCAACAAAGGCTGCCATGATTTTTCACACGGCATTGTTGAGTACGGTACCGAAATGTACTATACTCTTTGATACATTATGATGATTTTGTTCTGTACTTACGTATAATGGATGTCTTCTGTTATGTTACTAGACGACAAGTAGGCTACATTTTGCATGAAAACCGTATGCCTTTTTTTTTTTTAACAGTATTTCAAAATTTTCGAGAAGAATAAAATCTAGACGGATATAAATGGATATCTCCTTTAAAATTGATATACATGTACTCTCAAAGCTGTAGATTCATGGACATATGGACTAAAGATTCAGGAGAAAAAAACACAATACTCGTTTACAGAGAGAATCGAAGCATTTGATTGTGGAAAGAGGAGAGCTTAAGATAAAAAGATCAAATAGCCCCCC